AGAGAGAGAGAGAGAGAGAGAGAGAGAGAGAGAGAGAGAGAGAGAGAGAGAGACGGAGACAGATAGATAACGCTGAAGCATTACTACGGTTTTCCCCGAAGGGAAATTGAATCGTGAATTACAAGGACTTTGATAAAACAAAATACAACTCCATTGTAATTAATACGAAGGGCAGGTTTTACACTGGGTGAGGCGGTGTACACGAGCACGTGATCGGAGTGTGCTGATTCCATGCCATCATCCACATTGCTACCGGTGGCGCCCGGTAGCAAAGGGTAAAGCGATATGCCCACAGATTTATGCGCGCGAGATAAAAAGTGCCAGTTTTTTGATCGCAAGTGAAAAAGTGCTGGTAGTAAGGCAGTCGGTCATTTGGAGGTCACACACGCCAGACACGATGTTAGTGCCATGTGCCTTCCGTATTTCGTCAGAACCCCCCACCCGTGCCTTGTAACTTTATGACTTTGCACGAGGGTCTCAGACAAAAAACATTCTAATGATTACGATATTCCGAGAAACGCATATTTCGCAGTGGGTGTGTGCACTGCCTGCAATACTACGTGTGGAAATATCGCCTATTATGTATTATCAAGAGTAAGATAATAACCCATCTTGCAATCCATCGTGCAAACCACGGGTTATTATCTTAACTTACTATTGGTATTATTCGTGAGGCACCTTTCAAATGACCCTTTTCGGGGAACTTTTTTCTGGAGCGGGAGAAAGCTCTCGTTGCTGCATTTCTCAGGTTTCACACTATACACGTCCCCCTGGAAAATTTCATCCTGTATAGAGCGAGACACGATGTGCGCGAAGGTGGGGGGAGGGGGTTGCCGGCGAAGGTGCCGCCTTTCATAACTCCCGTCATTGTTCAAACGAGAACCACTTTTTTATCGCGTCGAGATGGTGCAGCTATAGATATCGGCATTTTTATATCGGCATCGCTGTAAAAAAAACTAGTTGCGTCTAGGGGAGAGGGAGGGGGTGCAGCTCGGTTTTGGGACAGCGGTTGTGTCGCGTGGGCGCCAGGTTATTCACTTTTCTTCGACACTGCGATGCACGTGACAACACCACCGCGTGCACGTGTATATCATGCGGGGAGCGAGCTATCTGCCGTGGCCCGCAAGCACGTGCGCCGTGCCAACGCACGCCAGCACTATTTATACACAGCGGGGCAAGCCCAGCCGATGCGAATGCCTCAACCTAGACTTCCCCACACAGTCTCTCGATGCGTCGTAATGCATATCGCAACACGCAGTAGCCAGCTGCGTTGTAAAACGACTGGATGTGAGACTAGGTACTACCGATGAACTACTAGAACTTTACTATGGCCCCAGAAGTGCCGCAAGCGCAGCGGCTGGCATTCTTCCAGGGAAAGAACGGAGTACATACTCCCCCACGTGCCGTCAGTCGTCCGTCACCGTCAGTCAAATGGTTAGGGTTAGGGTTAGGGTCCACAGGCCCCACGCTTAGATATAAGATTAGATATCGATTATAGATAGTGTTGCGCATCATCGCTGCCACTATTTTCTGTCTCGCTCTGCGACCGCGAATGGAAAGTTACATCTTATCAAGAGTCCATAATAGAAGATTAGAAGATTTCTAGATATTAGAAGATTCTATTTATGGACTCTTGATCTTTTTTTCACGCGCGTCAAATTCTGTTGAAACTAGGAATAACGCGAAGTGAATATTTTACAATTAAACGTCCGTCGCATCCGTTGCGAATTTTTTAAAACGTAATTTGATTGTAATTCGCACCGCCAATGCCGCCTTCACGGCATAGTGATGATACGCGCATTTCGGGGAAAGGGGAGGGGGGGGGATAAAACACAAAAACACCCCGCAGCGGCGCAGCCCGCCGATTACACGAAGTTTTTAGTGTGGGAGTCAGACTGATGAGTAAGTGTCTCTCTCTCTATATATAAAGACTACTTATATATATTATAGGCTGATTATCAATGACTCGTGGATGCAGTCTAAAAATGGTTGTAAAAAGGAATTGATTCCAAAGGTTTGGGTTCATGTTCTCACCTTTACCAATGTAGGCCCTACTACCTAAATAGTAAGCTATTTAAAAAATTAAAATCAATACATATTTATCGATATATCTTTCTGATGTTAGATCAATTTTAAAACGTCATAATTATATTCCAATAAAGGGTTATCTATAGAGGTACTATATATAGGGTCAGGGATAAAAATAGCTCTACATGTCATATATGAATCAGAATATACAAAAAAAACAATTTTTCCTCCTACCTACTCCTGATATCTATTTAATAACCTGTTATAAGATCATAACTTTTTAAGAGTCCATGATGTATTTTAGTCGTAAATTCATCTATGACAGAGTTCATACTCATAGTTTACCACATACATATTCACAGAATAATATATATATATACACACACGCACGCACGCACGCGCACGCACGCACGCACGCACGCACGCACACACACACACACACACGCACACACACACACACACACATATAGCTACATGGCCATATATGAGCAACTAAACATATATGATTATGACTGTATATGGTTATGAATAATGTTAAACATACGGTATCTGTGAATTAGTAGGTAAGTGTTGTACGTGTCACGCCTAGCTGTAGCCCGACCAGGCTGTGCGACCGATTGTCTATACAATTACAAATGGTCTTATAACCCTAGCAAGACCGTTTCTTGGAGCTAGCCTAGCTGGGCATATATATACATACGTTTACAATATAAAATGTAAACATATGCCCAGCTAGGCTAGCTCCAAGAAACGGTCTTGCTAGGGTTAGAAGACCATTTGTAATTGTATCTATAGACAATCGGTCGCACAGCCTGGTCGGGATACAGCGTCCCATTCCTATTTGACAACTCCAGGTTTAAAAACCCTAACCCTAACCCTAACCCTAACCAAACTCACGACATGGGTGTGTAAACGCTACTTGTACCGCTACAGCTAGGCGTGACACAACACTTACCTACTAGTACTACTACTACTACATTATATCCAGTGTAGTGGACACCGACAAGTATGAGAACATAACATAACTAGTACTAATAACAAACACATACATACATAGGTGTACAATAAAAACATAAACATATGTCCCCAGAGAATATAGTCTTATAATTACTTAACTAGCCTTATAACTTATAAGTACAATAAAATTCTCAAGTCTTATACTTGAAGGGTTTCCTTGGGAGATGATTTTAAGATCATAAGTCAATGAAGAGCATATATAATACTAGATACAATAATGTAACCCAAACCCAAGAGGATAGGGTCCTATCCTCTTGGGTTTGGGTTACATTATTGTATCTAGTAGTAGTAATATAATACGTACGTACCGTACAGGAAAAGTGACACAATGAATACAATCATTAGTCAATTATTAAGTGTACCACAACACTGAGAGTGGGACATGGACTAGAGTGGAGGGAGGAAGGAAAATCGAAGAAACACAAACTCGCGGTCATTCACTACACACACGGAGATGACACGGAGGTGACACGGTCTCTGTTGTTGTCGTATCGACTCGAATTGACTTACGTTTGAGCAATCTGGAGGTGTGCGCGGAGGTGAAAGAGGTATACACTCCATTGTCAGAACCATTAGTACCACTGATATATTCCTAAATGTCTCCTAGTATATTTGCGATAACGTCTCGTCTTGCGACAATTTCACGGCATATAGTGAGTTAATCGAATACGGGAGTTTAGACGCCAAAACATTGCAGTCGCGAGGGTGTGGGTGGATTCACCAATGAAAACGGCGGGCGAATTTGGTTGGGGCAGCGGCCGACCAATGAGCGCGAAGTGTGCATGTGATCGGAGCGTGCTGCACGCATGCTAGCAACTAGCGTTCCCCGGCAGCAGCACGTGCACAGTTTGTGGCGCTAGCGTGCTGCCGTCTGTTCCGGCGATACACAATGCGAAGGCGGCGTGACCACTGCATGATACGTTGCAGCAGTGAATCATCGGCAGCTAGCTCTAGCTAGGTCAGAGGATGATGAAACTCCGATTTCGAGATTGCTGCCGCGTAGCACGTACGCCCTTACGTATATGTACCCCGCCACGGTCTAACTTTAGAATCGAGCCGTAGGGTCTAGGAAAAATATTATTATAATGAAGTTGCTGCGTGCGCAATAATACGTAGTAGGTAATATTGACCTCCATGTGTACTTCAAGGGGGCACCTTTACGGCTTGTTTTATCGCACGGATCTTGCAGCTATTTTATGCGTAATTTAATTATACTTACCACAAACTCGATTAAATAAATCTCGGAATGGCGAAGTATCATAATATTGTATCCTTACCTTATTTCCATTAAACCCGATATTTCCACGTTCGATATTGGTGGCACGTACCTCGGCTAAGATCAATGAAAACAATACATACAATCCTTTAGTTTCCTTGACATTTTCTTCAACACATATTTATATAGATTTTGATCTAATGATCGGTGTGGTCGCAATTAACCTGCATAATAAGTGATGCGACAACAAGCAAAATATCATACAAGGAAGGATGCACGCTATATATCCAGCTGAGTTCATAGTACATCGTTATTTTCGCATGTACAATACTATAGTTTGTGTGCTCTTGATTATTTCTATGGTTATATCAAGAGCGTATTAAGAAGGCCTTTTTAAAGAAACCTTAATCTTAATACGCTCTTGGTTATATAGATGTAGCGACAAGTTACGCTTCGTCATGATCGAATTAACGTTTGTGTTTAATTATCAACGTGCGTACTAAATTAACGCGTCCGGTGTTAGCAGCGTACATACATACATTCAGACATTGTATAGCTTGGTTATATACATTGTTGAATCGTCTACGTTGTATACTATTGTGTAGTTGTATACTTTGTATCATTAATTATGTCAAGAGTACATAATAGGAGAGTCTCCTATTATATCTATTTTCAGCTATATTGATTGTATACAATAATGATCCCCCAACAAAAGTACAATAGTAGGTTTCCATTATTGTATCAAGCTATCTATCTATCTATCTATCGATCTATCTATCTATCTATCTATCTATCTATCTATCTATCTATCTTCTATCTATCTAATCTATTATCTATCTATCTATTATCTTTATGCTATCTGATCTATTATCTGATCTATCTATCTTATCCTGATCTATCTATTCTATGCTATCTGAATTTATCTACTCTAACTATCTATCTCTATTTCCTATCTATTATATCTATTGATCTATCTATGTATCTATCTATCTATCTATCTATCTATCTATCTTCTATCTTCTATCTATCTATCTATCTATCTATCTTCTATCTCATGCTCTCCTATCCTATCTATCTATCTTATTATATATCTATATATCTAATCTATCTATCATCTATACTAATCTATCTCTCTCTCTCTCTCTCTCTCTCTCTCTCTCTCTCTCTCTCTCTCGTCTCTCTCTCTCTCTCTCTCTCTCTCTCTTATCTCTATCCCTCCCTCTCTCTCTCTCTCTCTCTCTCTCTCTCTTTCTCTTCTCTCTCTCTCTACTCTCTCTCTCCCTCTCATCATCTCTATCGCTCCGCTCTATCTCTCTCTGTCTCTCTTCTCTCTCTCTCTCTCTTTCTGCTCTCTCTCTCTCTCGTCTCTCTCTCTCTTATATATTATATATTATATTATCTTTATATATTATATCATATATATATTATTATACGTTACTATCGAATTAAATTCGTAGCATAATAGAAAAAATGACAAATCACGTATGGCCGAACTTTGTACGTAACTAAAAAGTCGTGAACGGTTGCGCAGCCGACTGTAGCCATGCGACAGTGGCGGTGGCGTGTCACCAGCACCACACTCACACACACACACACCCACACACAACACACACACACACACACACACAACACACACCACCACAACAACACCACAACCCACACACACACACATCACACACAGTTATACACACACACAACACACACACACACACACCACACACACACATACACACACACACCACCACACCACAACCACAACACACACACAACACACACACACACCACCACCACACACACACACACACACACACACAACACACCACACAGCACCATCACGTCACACACACACACACACACAACACACACACACACACACACACACCACACCACACACACCACACACGCTGCGCGCACACACACACACACACCCACACACACACACACACACAGTCACACACACACACACACACACACACAACACACACACACACACCACACACACAGCACAACGACAACACACACACACACATCACAGTTCACACACACACACACACCCACACGCCGCACGCACGGCACAGACACACACAACACACCACCACACAACACACACACCACACACACACACATACAACACAACACACACACACACACCACCACACACAACACACCACCACACTGCACACGCACACACACCCACCACATGCTCACACACACCACCACACAACACACACACCACACACACCACACGACACACACACACCACACACACAAACTGCCAACATATATACACACACACACAGCACCACACACACACCACACACACACACACCAACACCACACCCCACACACACACACACAACCACAGTACCACGCCTGACATTCTGCTCACCCTGAGCCAGCTCTCACACCACTTCACAATCTCCCTGCCTTACTGACCCGCCATAGCCTCCCACCTCCTGCTCCCACCGCGGGGCCCCCGAGCGGCAAAAGGGAGGGGTTTGTACGTGCCTACTGGTCTTATGTAGCGCTATAAATTACCGCGCCCATATAGATGTTTCTTATCTTATATTATATATTATATTATATTATATATTATATAGCAGTTATGTTAATTTAGCAAGCAGCACGTTTATGATATAGGGCGCTTTTACGCGAACGTGGCACGCAGAGGTGAGCTGTCTTAAACTAGACAGAGGCACTCACGCGGAGAGTTCTAGCTCCGCAGCCGCATGTGACATGTATGTGCTCGCTGGTGGCGGCCTGCTGACTGTCCTTCGCCTGCTGCTGACCTCGCCGCCTCACTGGTCGGCGTGCTGCTGCTCGCCATCCGCTGACTCGACGCCGCTATCGTTCGCCGTCAGTGTTGGCTTGCTGCTGACTTGCCCACTCGCCTGACTCGACGCGTATCAGATTTCGCCGTCCTGGTGAACTTGCTGCTTGGGCTCAGCACTCGCTGACTCGACGCGCTTCGTTTTCGCCCGCCTCACTGGTGGGTGTGTGCTGGCTCGCCACTCGCTGACTCCGATGCGCGCAGAGGCCACAGCACACAACCACACACACACGAACAGACACACGCGAGCGATTGCATTAGCTCCGATATTGCGCGCGGCAGCTGAATAATATGCAATCGATCGATGGTAAGCAAGCATGCATATGCTCCGAATGTATGCGGCTATATATAGCAGCGTGTAGTAAAAATGCAGCAGCGCGCTACTATCCCTGATATGTATATATATCCTACAAGAGTACATAATAGCAGGGAGCTGTTTAGTGGTATGTTTGTCATTATCCAATTCTGTCATTATTAGCCTCCTGATCTAATTAGGCAGATGAGTTATGCACCGTTTTAACAGACGTTTTGCATAGTGGTTTTCAACTTGTTAAATATTCTATCATATGTGCATAAATATATTTTAAACTTTTCTTGTTTTGGTCTTTATGGTTTCCTTACATATGAACACCAATTTACCTGAAATCGATGTGTTCTTCCAAAAAAGCCTTCTCTTGCATACCGGACACGGTTTTCGCACGAGTTGGTCACGATGGACTTATATTTTTCAACTATTGATAGATTATTTTACAAGATTAAAAACTATGGCAGAAACGGCCTGTTTTAAAACCAGGTGTCATCTCTTCTCCTATTATGTACTTCTATGATCCTATATTCTTTATCTATCATCCTATGATATAGTCAAGAGCACTAATAATTACCAAAGGGGGGGTTTCTTTTTCATTATAGGCCGTTGATAGGTTATCATAGAGTTAAAAATGCCACATTTGTTTGTTTGTCATTATTAACCCCTGGTATTATTAGCTCTTGATATAGGGCTGCTAATTTGAAATCGAGAGCGGTTGCGCGCCGAAAAGGCAGTGCTTGTATAGTATTTATAATACGTTCAAACTTGCGTAGAGAATTATACAATATAAAACGTCTGACATAGAGCGTTTGAGACATTAGACAATTAATTAAGGAGATAGACAATTAGAGTTTAGTCAATAGAGCGGTTTGGCAAATATATATATTTATATATATTATATTCATATATTAATATATATATATAGATATATAATTACGGTTAATAGCATATGTGACACGGACGTATTTCAGATACTTGTTCTTGATATACCGCCAGAGACCAATATTAATAAAAGCTTCTTATTAGCTCTCGATATCACCAGGAATAAATAATAAACATTCGAATTGTTTTCATACCCCCTCCTGATATCAGGCGTGTCAGACTAGCTCTAGAACTATAGCCCTTCGCTCTGCCACAGAGCGCGACAGCGCCATCGTATCTTGCTCATAAGCGTCTAGTGTTGTCCCCCAGGTATGCCGGACGTTTACCCTGGTAACTATCTAGCCTGATAGGGTTAGGGTTTAGCGTTAGGTTAGGGTTAGGGGGAGTAGGCGTACGGCGACTCCCTAGACTCGCTTAGTGCGGAGTAGGCCGAGGTACGGCTCGCGCAATATTAGTAGTAG